CGCCGGCACGCCGCCACCGCGTTGCGCGCCCACGCCGCGCCCTCCCCGCCGCCGCCGCCGCCGCCCAGCGCCGCGCTGGCGCCCTCTCCGCCGCCGGCGCCCAGCAGGCGCGTCAGCTGTGGCTGCAGGTCCTTCAAATCAAAGTCGTAAGGGATCGATATGAACCCGCTGCCCCAGACCTCGTAGCAATCATCGATCGCGAGGCTGGCGCCCCTGAGATCGACGCCGCTGCCCTTGATCGCCTCAGCATTCTCCAGCAGCCGCCGCGCGCCCTCCAGCACCGCCGAGCCGTCGCTGGCCGCGCCGCAGACGCGCACGACGTGCTTGGCGCCGAAGGCTGAGCGGATCTGCTCCAGCAGGGCGTGCTCCTCCTGCAGGCCCACCTGCACCGCCGCGGCCGCCTGTGTGTGTGTGTGTGTGTGTGTGTGTGTGTGCGTGCGCGCGCACGCGTGTGTGTGTGTGTGTGTGTGTGTGTGTGTGTGTGTGTGTGTAGAGGGGTGTCCGTGGGGTTGGGGCCAGAGATCAGGCGTGTCGCACCTTGACAGGCCAAAGAGGGGCGATCAGCTGCTGACCGCGCCGCTGCCGTTGAATCAGCTGTGCCCTCCATCGCCATGGCGAGAACCCTCTGTACCCCCGTCACCTACCCCGGCACGCTGCCCCTCCACCCCCAAAGTACAGACACCGGCCGGATGCACCCCGTCCTGCCCACCTGATCCGCCAGCATGCTGCCGTCGCTGACCAAAAACTCCACCAGCTGCTTGGGGGGGCAGTCAGATCGCACCTGAGGAAGAGGAAGGGGCGGCAGTCGGAAGGTCTACACCACCCAGGGGCCAGCGACTGCCCTTTTCGCCGCCGAGGGGCTGCGCTCGGAGGTAGTATGCTGGCTGCTGACATCAGCGCCCACGGCGCAACAAAAAGCGCCACTGGCTAGCCGAATGCGGCCGCAGCGAGCGAGGCGCACGCGGTATCGAGGCAATTGTTGGTCATCCCTCGGGCCGCGGCCGCTACGCCGCCCTGCGACCCAGCGTGCCTGCAGGATGGAGCTCTTTGCGCTGAAGTCGATCATGGGGCTGGAGCTGTCCGAGTGGACCAGCAGGGAGAAGGTGAAGCGCCGCCTCGCGACAGCCACCTCCACGTCGTGCCTGGGGGGAGAGCGGGACGACAACGACACGGGGCGAAGGCGATTGCCATCCCCCCGCTTCGTCCTGCCTTGACCCTCTTTCCCTCCTTCTCTACCCTGTCACGCCAGCCATCACTCTGCACTCCCCCATCCCACGCCTCATCAACATGATCGCCAACGCGCAAGCCACTACAGTCACCATCCCGCCATCCACCCACCGCTGCTCCAGCACGTATCCGGCCCAGATCACAAAGTTCTGGCTGTTCTGCTCCGTCCGCGTGTCGCACCACACGTTCTGCACCCCCAGCAGCTTGGTCAGCGCCGGCGTGAGGTCGCGCACGCGGCGCAGCCAGAACATGGTCACGCGCGTCAGCACGCGCGCGCGGTCCATGTCCAGGGCCAGGAGCACGTCCCTGCTCGAGCGCAACGGCAGAACGTATTGAGGGAGGCGGCGTGTTGGTCTGTCCGTCCGTACGTCGCTTGGGTGGGTGGAGGAGTTCACAGCCGCTAGTGGATGACAGGCGGCAGCGCGGCCACCACTGCGAATGCCGCGCGAGCCGGCCCAGGCGCCGCGGACAGACCACGCCCGTGGCTAGAGCAATCGCTCTGGTCCCTGCCCTCCCCGTCCCTCTTGCCCCTTGCCGCTCCCTCATAACAGCCCTGCGCCTTCCCTGCCTCCACCAACCCCGTAAGCGTATGGCGGTCCTGAGCCCCCTCCGCCCCGCCCCCCAACAAACTGCCTCCTCCGCACTCACCTGAGCGTGTGGCGGTCCGCCACTACGTGCAGGCAGCCGTCGTC